CCCCAAAACCCCAAAACCCCAAAACCCCAAAACCCCTGAGGTTTTATAACTAATTGAAGGAAGTGATGGAAGTAAGGGAAGAAGGATTGATGGTGTTTGAGACAGTGGCTTTGAAGGAGGATTTGCATGGGCTGATGGTTAGCATGCGGTGTAGTCAGGAAGGATGTAAGGAGAGAGCGAAGATGATGTGGAAGGATACAGACCATGATAAGGACTTGAGGTGTGCAGAGGACTTTGCATTAGCAGATTGATGAAAGGATTATAAGCCACTTGATGAATTTTGGCCGGAGATTGAAGAGACTGTTGATAAGTTAGAAAATCTCATCAGGCAAACTCAGGTCCTGCTTTCAGCAATGGAAGATCAGTATTATGTGGCTAAGTTCGCAGAGGAAGAACGAAAGGGGATAGACCTGATCAGTAGAAGGTTACAAAAGTGGGTAGCAATGTTTCCGGTAAAGATCTGGGGGCTTAATGAGGAATCAAATTTCGATGTTTTCATTGAAATGGATAAGGAGTACAAAAGTGTAGAGTCTGATACAACCAAGTTAAATCAAATTGTCGGACCCTTACTTGCTTTCATCTATTCAACATCAGTATTAAACCAGATAGACATCCTTGAAACTGAAGAGACAGAAGAACTAGAAGCATCTGTTGCTAATTTAGAGGAGAACAAGAAAGATATTTTTGGAAAATCAAATGGAGCTCTCTTTCTTGAAGCTCAGAGATTTTCTGAACTGGAAAGAAAATTTAAGTCTGGCATAAGAAAAGAGTCCTTAGAAGCAAGAGAAGAAAGAACCTCTTTTCATCTTAATGAGGAAGAGAAAGATCATTTAGATCAGTCAGAGAATACTCTCATGACTGATCTGGCCTCTGCTGAAGAATCGAAGGATGGTAGTAACTCTATTGTGACAGTTTTTGCAGCAACTTTTAATGATATATCAAATTGAAGTGCAAATTATAAGGACCTCGTTGATTTCATGCATGACATAAGAGACTCTAATCTCGAGCTCAGAGAGGAAATCGATAACTATATGGAAAAGAATGGGCTCAAACCAAGCCAAGAATATGTCAATAATAGGGTCGTACCAGATATCAAAGAGGTTACAGAAATCATACGTAGTACTAAAATCGACAAGAATCCGGAACTAAACCCTCGTTTCAAGCTGATTTTGGATCTCAGGAAGAACAAAAAGCCTTGAAGAAACTTTATGAGGGAAGTAAAGGAATTCCAAATGCCAAAGATACATTCATTAGCTATCAAAAATGTTCATAAAATCGAGCCGGATGATTTCTCTGATTATCAAAGATTTATGAGGCATACTATGGCATCAAATATCAGGGAATTTTTCTTCCATACAGGGAATGAAATAGCATTGGCTCAGTTCAATCACTCAATTTCGAATATTCTGACTTTAGTCAATTATCAAGCACTATTTAGCAATTTTATTTTAACAGATGAGGACCTCACAAATATCTTTGTAAACTTGGTCAATTCAAAGCATTTGGAATTTGAAGGGTGTAATTTTGATATGGTTACAAATGACGTGAAGCTCTCCCAGATGTCTACATCCTGCCTTGAGAGCATTACCATTAATCCATCGAAAAAGAAGACAACTGAGACTAAGATTATGAATATTCTTAGTGCTCTTTGTTACGGACTGAAGAAAACTCCTGTGAGGGATACTCTAAAGGTGCTGTATATCCCTAAATTCATGAACATCAGGGACGTGGCGATACTATTTAAAAGTAACCGATACAATTTAGAAGACATCCAATGAAGCATGTAATCGGGTTGGTTACAAGCTAAAGTAATGTAATAGTTTCAGATAACAATTTTGTTGCTAAGTCTGAATTTTCTTATCAAGTCTTATAGTCCTACTTTTGGAATTGTAGGTATGACATCATAGCCTTTCTGTCAACTGCTATTCATTTTTGGACATATTTTAGAGTTTTTAAATATAATTTCAGACTTTCAATAACGTAAAAATTTCAGGGGTTTTGGGGTTTTGGGGTTTTGGGGTTTTGGGGTTTTGGGG